GAGAGGGCAAATTTAGTTCCCATTACTCCATCTTGACTGAAAATGCATGACTGAGGGGTTGTATTTATGACACCTCTTGACAGTGGGACCAACAGTGGGACAGTGGGGCCAATGACAATGGAGAAGAATCAAGCATGATATATCTGCTCTTTTTTAAAATGTTTTTGTTGACTTTAGAGAAAGAGGAAGGGAGAGAGAGAGAGAGAGAGAGAGAGAGAGAGAGAGAGAGAGAGAAACATTGATCAGTTGCCTCCCATACCATACACACCCCAACCAGGGATCAAACCTGCAACCTGTGTATGTGCCCTGACCAGGAATCGAACCAGCAACCTTTTGATGCATGGGACAATGTTCAACCAACTGAGCCACACCAGCCAGGGCAGATATATCTGCTCTTTGACTTGAGTGACAAACTGGTTGTTGTGGTGCCGTTGGTTGAGATGACAGAGACAGGAGGATATTTGATCCAGGGGAATCCCAGAGATCTGTTTGGATGGGTTAAGCTGAGATGCCTTATGAGACACCCATGTGAACATGTCAAACAGGCCATAGCATATACAAGTCTGGTGTTCAGGAGAGGTCTGGGATAGAGGCCTAAATTAGTGGATCTTCCAAAAAATTTGCAATAAGTAAGGCTATGAGACAGATGAAGTCACTTAAGGAGATAATATTGGCTACAAAAGTAAGGGGGTCGGGATCATACCCAAGGATACTCCAATATTTGGAAATTGGATAAAGATGGAGGGTTAATCAGAGAGGTAGGAGAAAACCAAGAGAGTGAGAGCAAGAAACTGTGGAATGTGCTGGGCAGTCACAGGAGAGGGTAGGGAAGTAAATGCTGCTTTGACAAGATTATTATTCATCGGTGAGCCAGTTGAGCAGTCTCAGAGACATGAGAGTGACAGAAGCCAAACTGAATTAAATTAAATATAATCGGGACATGAGGAAATACAGCATGAAGAAGGAAGGAAGACTAGCTTTGCCGAGGAGCATAGCAATGAAGTCACTCCATGGATGTTGACAACACAATACATGCAACAACCTAGAGAGATGTCCATCAGTAGGGGAACAGCTGAACAATGCTACATTTATTCCACAGAATGCCATGAATCTGTTTAAAAGGATAAATTAAACAGATGTCCTCTATATACTAATAAATTTTTTTTTGAGAAAAGGAGAGAGAGAAACATCGATCAGTTGCCTCCCATATGTGCTCCCACCAGGGATTGGAACCTGCAGTCTGGGTATATGGCCTGACCAGGAATCAAACCCACAACCCTTTGGTGCATGGAATGATGCTCCAACCAAGCCGCACTGGTCAGGGCTATATATTAATAATTTTTTAAAAATTCACCGGAGGATATTTTTTCCATTGCTTTTCAGAGAGAGTGGAAGGGAGGGAGAGAGAAAAACATCAATGTGAGAGAGGCATATCAATTATTTGCCTCTGGCACACGTCCCGACTGGGGCCAGGGCACGAGCCTGCAACCGAGGTATAAGCGCTTGGCCGGAATCAAACCTGGGACCCTTCAGTCCACAGGCTGACGCTCTAACCACTGAGCCAAACCAGCTAGGGCTATATTAATAATTTTTAAACAATACTTGGAAATAAAATAAAGGATGGGTGGATTATATCAATGTCAATATCCTGAGTTTAATATTTTACTATAGTTTTACATGTTATCTTTGGGGAAAACTTCGAGTACATGGAATTTCTCTGTATTATTTCTCAAAGCTACATGTGAATCCACAATTATCTCAAAATTTAAAAGTTGAATACAGGCCCTGTCCGGGTAGCTCAGTTGGTTAGGGTGTAGTCCCTTTACATCAAGGTTACAGGTTCGATCCCCAATCAGGGCACATGCAAGAATCAACCAATTGCCCTAGCCTGTTTTCCTCAGTGATTAGAGCATCGCCTGAGGACTGAAGGGTCCCGGGTTCGATTCCGACAAAGGGCACATACCTCGGTTGCAGGCTCGATCCCGGGCCCTGGTGGGGGAACATGCATGAGGCAACCAATTAATGTGTCTCTCTCACATTGACATCCGTGTCGTGTCCCGTCCCCCCCACCCTCTGAAAAGCAACGGAAAAAATATCTTCTGGTGAGGATTAAAAAAAAAAAAAAATCAACCAATTTAATACATAAATTACCAGAACTACAAAAAAATTGATGTCTCTCTCTCCCCCTCTCTCTAAAAGCAATTCTTAAAAAGTTAAATAAAAAAAAACAAACACATTTCCAGTCCTGACTGGTGTGGCTACGTGGTTAGAGCGACCGTTCTTGCACTGAAGGCTCCGGGTTTTGATTCCCAGTTCCCCAGCTCTGCAGTCGGGGCTCCTGCAGGAGGCAACCAATCAATGTATCTCTTTCACATGAACCTCTCTCTCTCCCTTCCACTCTCTCTAAAAATCAATGGGAAAAATATATCCTCAAGCAAGGATTTTAAAAATGTTTCCGGTATGTGCTTAACTGGGGTGTTTCTTCCCCCACAGTAAACATTTACACCTCTTGCCATCAAAACACCATTTAAAAATTTTTATTTATTGATTTTAGAAACGGAGGGAGAGGGAGAGATTTGTTGTTCCAGTTATTTACTTTTTCGTTGGTTGATTCTTGTTTGTGTCCTGGCGGGTATGGGGTGGTGGTGTTGAACCGGCAACCTTGGAGTATCCGGACCACATTCTAACCAACTGAGCTACCCGGCCAGGGCAAAACACCATTTTCATTTTGTAAATAAAACAAAGAGCTGGGTGGCAGAATCCCACCCCTGGATTCTCAAAGCCAAGGATGGATAGTCTCAGCTTTCAAGATCTCCAAAACCGCTTCCGCCCAGAGGGTTCCTAGTCTTCGCTCTAGGAGTCTGGGAGAATTACGTATTAACCGGGCGTGGCCACTCTAGCCCACCTAGGAGGTCCAAGTCTCGTTTGCCCAGAAAGTTAACGCCTCTAGCTCGCCGAGCCAAATCGAGGTGTTAAATGCTCGAGGAGAAGGCTCTGTCGCCCACCCTTCTTCGTTTCCGTCAGACGCTCATGGCCTTGTGAAGCTTCCTCTGCTCTCTGAGCCCTCGTAAGAGAACGCAGTTTCCCCCGGTGTTGCTGCCAAATTTCAAGACCTGAATGAGGAGGGCTGTGGCCTCATCTCCCAGCTAGGATGAGTCATTTCCGGTGACAGACTCCCTCCCCCGGAAGTGAGACCTAATGTAAACACTAGAGCCGGGTGTCAAGGCCCTGGAGGTCAGAAAGCCGTGCCGCGGGCGGCACCGAGAGCTGGGCCTGGGATCCGGACGCACACGGAAGTCAGGTCAGTACAGGTGGCGGGGAGCTGGGGCATTACTCCAGAATTGGTTAGAGTTTGGGGGATAGGCTGGGAGGCTTTTTGAGCAGAGTTCTTGGTGGATGAGGGGATCTAGGACAGGGATCTTGAGTGGGTGCTGGTGTTGGAAGGAGTAGTAGTGCTGTCATGGACTTGAAGAAGTGCTCGGGAGGTGGGGCTTTGTGTGAGGCATCCCTGGGCAAGGTTTTTGGGTGGCTCGGATGTTTGGAATGGGAGTCCAAAAAAGGGGATCTTGGAAGGTGAGACCTTCAAAAGAATGGGTCTTTGAAGAGTTAGGTGGTACGGGGGCAAGGTAGGATGTTTGGGCTCTTGGAGAATGGAGAGAGGTCTGCCTGGGCAAAGCTTTTGGGGACATCAAGGTTTGAAGGGAGTATGGGAGCTCTAGGACAGGAGTCTGTGGGTTGAGTTATCCCAGGTAGGGGTTTGGGGAAGTGTGTGTCCTGGACAATGGTCTTAAGGGGGTAGGTGTGCCCTGGGGCAGGATCATGGGGAGAGGATAGGGGTTATGGAGGAGGAATCTGTCAACATAAGAAACATCCAGACCTGTTGGGAATTTTTTTGATTTTACTTGAGCCAAAACTGACTACAATTGCCAGGAGACAAGATCTCAAATGCTTTGGAAAACAGTAGTTTGCAGTTTATTTTATGCATTTGAGATTAAAGCAAGAACATAAGGAAGATTACATGAAGGTGGGAGAAATCGAGGTGGGAATCAGATTAGAAGGAGGGAGGGGTCTGAAAGGTGGCATTTCAAAGGTGTGTTAACCTAGATGAGCAGAAACAGTGGACAGGGCTTGCTTAAGGCAAAGATAAACCTTTTACTAAAGAAGCTATATTCCTGCTGTGTGACTGCCCATGATTTGCCCAGTTAAGAATTTATGATCAGATCACCTTGTGAGGTTACTTTCTGTAGAACCCCTTTTTTGTCCATAATTCTTAGTGGGACAGGATTCCTGGGGGTGGGTCCAAGCCAACCCATATTGGAATCAGGGACAGCAGAGTACATGGAAGCGGCTATTCCAGGGGTGGGGGATTTGGAGTGATAGAGGATTCTGAGGTAGGGTCTTTAGGGGATAAGAGGATCTGGGGAAACATCCAGGCTGGTCCTGGTGGGAGGAAGTTAGCATGGCATGAAAAGAAGTAATCTCGAGATAGGCTGGGATCCTGAAAGGGTTTGGGGAAGCCTGTGAAGAGGGAAGGTGTGAGAGCACTCTAGGGTGGTGTAATAGGTTGGGTGGTTCAGAAAGGCATGAAGAGGGGAGTTCCCGTGGATGGTGGACCAACCATAGTTGGTCTCAGGCCTAGGTCATGGAGGTGCAGGAAGAGGTGGATGTCCTAGCCCCCTCTCCCCATTTGTTGACATGTGGAGTTGGGTGCTAGGTTCAGGTGTGAAGATGAGAAATGAGTGGGGGCTGATTTCAAGCCATTTTGGGCATTGGGGCCAGGACTCTCTGGGGGTGGGGAGGAGGTGTTACTGGGACAGTTACTTTCTTTTTCTTAATCCTCACCAGAGGATATTTTTTCCATTGCTTTTCACAGAGAGAGGAAGGGGGAGAAAGAGAGAGAGAAACACTGATGTGAGATTGATTGCCTCCCGCACAAGTCCCGATCAGGGCCGGCGATTGAGCCCACAACTGAGGTATGTACCCTTGGCTGGAATCAAACCTGTGACCCTTCAGTCAGTGGGCCAGCGCTCTAACCACTGAACCAAACTGGCTAGGGCTTTAGATTCTTTCTTATTACTTTTTTTTAAATACATCTTTATTGATTTCAGAGAGAGGAAGGGAGAGGGAGATAGAAACATCAATGATGAGAGTCATTGATCGGCTGCCTACTGCACCCCTCGACTGGGGATCAAGCCCGCAACCCGGGCATGTGCCTTGACCCAAAAACGATCTGCAATCTCCTGGAACCTAGGTCAACACTCAACTGCTGAGCTACACCCAGCCGGGCTCATATTACTTTCTGACAAGCAATTTATTAGGGCTAGGGAGTAAGGAGGAGGGGGGTTCCAGGTCAGGGTCGCTGTGGATCTGGGTCAGCCAAATGTGAGATGGGGAGGTTCCCGGCCATGCTGTTTGGGGTCTTGGGAGTTTAGAGTGGAAACCCCAGGACTCTTCCCCCTGTTTTTGTCTTCTTGCAGTCCTGCTGTGGTTAGTAGGTAGTAGAGTGAGAGGAGGAAGAAGAAATCAATTAGGGACAGGAGTTCTAGGACTTGGAGGGCAGACCCCAGGACTGTTTCCAACCCTTTATCCATCTGTGTCCAGGGAAGCAATCCTGGATCATGACTCAGCAGCCACTTCGAGGAGTGACCAGCCTGCGTTTCAACCAAGACCAAAGTGAGAGACTTGCGCCTGTACCCTTGTGGGAGGGAGGAAGAGAGGGAGAGAATGGTCAGAGGTGGGTGTTAAGCAACCCTAGCTTCCCAAATGAGCATCCTTTGAGGCAGCCTGGATTCCTCCCATTCCCTAGGCTGCTTTTGCTGCGCCATGGAGACAGGTGTGCGCATCTACAATGTGGAGCCGTTGATGGAGAAGGGACATCTGGGTGAGCCATCAGTGGGGGAGAGGCAATGGGCAGAAGGGACAGGCTGGGCTGTGCCTCCCATCCCTACTGACACCCTGGTCCTTGTCCAGACCATGAGCAGGTGGGCAGCATGGGCCTGGTGGAAATGCTGTTCCGTTCGAACCTGCTGGCCCTGGTGGGCGGTGGCAGCAGCCCCAAGTTCTCAGAGATCTCAGGTAAGCACCGTCATATCATCCCGCCCTTGGCCCAGATTCCCTGGAATCCTGGCCTCCCCCAGGAACCCCAAGGCACTGGCAGATGAAGATGCCAGAGCACCTTAGAGTCACACAGTGAGGCCTACAGCTTGGAAGTCATGGGTCTTATAGTTTAAGACGCTTAGTGTTTTGTTTCATTTAACAAACATTATTTGGATGCCTCCTGTACACCATATCTTTACCTATAGAGTGCTTGCTGTGAGCCTGGTACTATTCTAAGCACTTTACGTGTATTAACTCTCACAGTAACTCTATGTGGTAGGAAGTATCATTATCTCATTTCTACAGATGAAGAAACTGAGGCCCAGAGAGGTTGAGTGACCCAAGGTCAAATAACCAATAGGTTTTAACATCTTGAAGCTGTCTCCCCAATGCCCACTTGCCTTGAGCCTCAAGTGCCATCTTGTTTTAAAGGTTTTTTGGTTGATCCCATTGGGACATGGCAACAGACTTGCCCTAAACAAATCACAGAGCCTAGGATTTCTCACAAATCTTGGGAATATAGGGACTAGGACCCTGGAGGCAGAAATAGTGACAGGAAGTTACAGGTCTGGCTGCAAGTCCCTGCTTGCTTGCTGTGAGGTCCTTGGCCAAATACTCAATCCCTGAAAGCCTGTTTCCTTTCCCATAAATGGATATAACAGTTCTAGGACCTGTTCTCTCAGGAATCACACCCACAAATGCTTATACTGTGTGAGGCTCACATTGGGTATTAGTGAAAGGTTAAACAAGTGAGTTGAGGTCCCATGGGGAGGAGGGGTGGGTCTTGTGTCAGCAAGGCTGCCTCTCACTTTAAACCTTGGTCCCGATAATGCACCTACCTGCCCAGCAGTGCTGATCTGGGATGATGCCCGGGAGGGCAAGGACTCCAAGGACAAGTTGGTGCTGGAGTTCACCTTCACCAAGCCAGTGCTGGCTGTGCGCATGCGCCATGACAAGTGAGCCTGAGGAGGACTGGGGGTGGGGGAGGTGGGAGGTCCCCACAGCAGGTGAGAGGGTTAATTCTGCCTGGGTATCTACCCTCCCCTCATGGCTGTCCTGTGTTATGTGATGCCCACAGAATTGTGATTGTGCTGAGGAACCGCATCTATGTGTACTCCTTCCCCGACAATCCCCGAAAGCTGTTTGAGTTCGACACCCGGGACAACCCAAAGGGTGAGAAGACCCAGATATGCAGGAGTAAGGGCAGGAGGCAGTGAATGAGGTGGAGGGGAAGAAACGAAGAGAAAAATGGGAGCGGTACACAGAGAAACGGGAAAAGAGAGGCAGGGAGTCTTTGCACAGAGATGCTCAGATAACCTGAGATGCACAAACAGGGGTGGGCAAAAGTCGGTTTACAGTTGTTTGTATAAGAAAAGACATGCAGGTTCTTATTATTACAAGAGCTTTATAATTACAAAACATCACAATGCAGCTGTAAACCTACTTCTGCCAACTCCTGTATTCCCCATCTATCCATCTTTCCATCCCTTAACCAGTTCTCTCTCCTCACCCTTAGCCCTGTCCCACCCCTGTGTGCTCCTGATAGCAGAGCAAATATACCTTGGTGTGTTTTTTTTGTTTTTTTAAACATATCTTTATTGATTTCAGAGAGAGGAAAGGAGGGGGAGAGAGAGAGAGAGATAGAAACATCAATGATGAGAGAGTCATTGATCAGCCGCCTAGCCCACAACCTGGGCATGTGCCCTGACCGGGAATTGAACCTCGATCTCCTGGATCCTAGGTCGATGCTCAACCTCTGAGCCATGCCCGGCCGGGCAGCAAATATACCTTGTAAGCACATGGGTGGGTGTGTCAAGGACCCCTGGGCCTCCTGGAGCCGCCAAGGCTGTGTAGGGAAGAAGGGAATAGCCTCACTGGTGGGGAGCACAGCTGAGGGCAGCACTCAGGGCTCTGTGGGTAACATGTATCATGGAAGGCTAAAGTCCAGCCCTTATCCAGCTCTGTCCATTCTGAGACCCTGCCTGGCCACTGCCTGTTCCCTGCTTCCCCTTTACCAGCCCACCCTCTACTTCCTCCTCATACCCTAGGGCTCTGTGACCTCTGCCCCAGCCTGGAGAAACAACTGCTAGTGTTCCCAGGACACAAGTGTGGGAGTCTACAACTTGTGGTGAGTTGTCCAGTGAGCAGGGATGGGTAGGTGGGTGGGCTAGTTCTCCCTGTGAACTCGGGAACCCTGCCCTCCATACTACCCCAAGCCCAAACTGCTCCTTCCCACCATAGGACCTGGCAAGCACAAAGCCTGGCACTTCATCTGCTCCATTTACCATTAATGCACATCAGAGCGATGTCGCCTGTGTGTCCCTAAACCAGCCAGGCACCGTAGTAGCCTCGGCCTCCCAGAAGGGCACCCTTATTCGCCTTTTTGACACACAGTCCAAGGAAAAACTGGTGGAACTACGCCGAGGCACTGACCCCGCCACCCTCTACTGGTGAGCACAGGGTATGCATGGTGGGCCAGGGACTCCATGCCACATGACATGTGGGTGTCATTGCTGGTTTGTCTTCCAGCATCAACTTCAGCCATGACTCCTCCTTCCTGTGCGCTTCCAGTGATAAGGGCACGGTCCATATCTTTGCTCTCAAGGATACTCGCCTCAACCGCCGCTCTGCGTGAGTACCCCCACCCTGCCATGTCCCCATCCCTCTGCCCCACCCTGCCATGTCCCCATCCCTCTGCCCACATACTACACCTCGGCTTAGTCAGTGTTGCCTGCAGGCTGGCTCGTGTGGGCAAGGTTGGGCCTATGATTGGACAGTACGTGGACTCTCAGTGGAGCCTGGCGAGCTTCACAGTGCCTGCTGAGTCAGCCTGTATCTGCGCCTTCGGTCGCAACACTTCCAAGAATGTCAACTCTGTCATTGGTGAGTGGGACTAACCCTTGACTGGGGGTATTGCATGGGAAAAGGCCTGCAGGTTGGACCTGAAAGAATTTTAGGGAATAGGAAGCCTGAAGAAGCTAGAATGGGTGGTTTAACTCTGTTATCAGTGAGGGGAATGGCATGTGGGCAAAGCGCTGGAAGGAGACTGTAGGCCATGGGACACTTGGATTCAAGTGTATGGCTTTGGCAGCCTCTAACTTTTTACTGATCTTCCCCCCCCCCTCCAGCCATCTGTGTAGATGGGACCTTCCACAAATATGTCTTCACTCCTGATGGAAACTGCAACAGAGAGGCTTTCGATGTGTACCTTGACATCTGTGATGATGATGACTTTTAAGGACCCTGTGGGTTGTGCTAGGGACCTGCAGTGGCAAAGTGCAAAGCATTTATTGGGGTGGGAGTGCTAGAAGCCACCAGCCAGCAAGCACTAATGGGGCAGATGCCCACTTTCCACTCCTCAGAGCAATGCCTAAACAGCTCATTTCTTCCAAGCACTTCTTGATGATTATGTCCTTAAGGACTGTGTACCCACAAGGCCAGGCCAGGGACCCAGAGGGGCAGCAGATGCCCTGGGGCGCCCAACCTGGAGAAGAATACTAGGGACCCAGAGGGAGTGCCCTAATCCAACCTGTGGGGATAAAAAAAAAAAGTCTTCCGAGAAAGAGCCAATCTCTGATATGATGAATTTGAATAAAAAGCCCTTAATAGTATTTATGGCTGGACTTCGGGGGTGGGGCCTGGAGGAGATGAGGCTGAAAAGGCACTGCAGTTTCCAGAAAAGGTGTGACCCTCTTGGACAGAAAGGAGGTGGGACCCTGCTCTGGTCCTTCTGACAGTCCCTACCGTCATCTCTGCTTAGTCCGTTTGTCTGGCCACTGTTATTGCGCCGCCCGGAACAGGGCTCCTTGGCGCGCCTCCATCTGGGATTGGATGGGAACGCCTCGCTCCGCTGCCAATACTTAATTTCCCGGCAGTTCCTGTTCTGGCGTTTTCATTTCCGGTCACGTGCGTTGCTGCGCCTGCGCCGTCCACCTGGGTGGGTAGTGTAGCAGCAGTCCCTCCCAGACTCCATTTCCCGGTGTCCGCTGCGGTGGCGCGGGGTGTAACGGGTGTTGTAGTTCGGCTGCTCTTCTGGCTGGTCCAGCGACATCGACTCGCAGGATGTCGGAGGTGCGGCTGCCACCGCTACGCGCCCTGGATGACTTCGTTCTGGGGTCAGCACGTCTGGCGGCCCCGGATCCATGCGACCCGCAGCGATGGTGCCACCGCGTCATCAACAATCTCCTCTACTACCAGACCAACTATCTTGTCT